ATATATATATATATATATATATAATTTTTTTAATTACTATAAAAATATTATTTATATAATTTATTTATATACTCTCTTTTCACTCATTCATTCAAAGAAAAAGATATAATTATTTTCTATTATTTTTCTTCTTATTTTCATCTATACAATAACACAATTTTTCTATTTTATTAATTTCTCTTATATTTCTATCTTTCTTATTTTTTTTCTTTTTATTTTAATCTTAATATTAAACTAAAGCATTATACTGCAGCCGTGCAGCGGATTTCGCTAATAAACGTCACGTTTTTACAAATGGGATATCCTCACCGCCACCATTTTTACAATAAGAAGATTAAGAATTTGTACATGTATTAAACAATATTTACTTTTACTTTTTTGTTTATTCAATAGCCTCTTAATTATTACACTTATTCAGCTGTTTTCTTTTTGCTTTAAACCTTATTGCAATATATATGCAGGTTTGTTTCTTCAGACAGTTTGTACGATCAGTTCCTAAAGTAGATTATTTGACCTTAAGGCACGGATTTATGATGGTGAATACATTACAACCTAACTTACCATTTTCACCTAGTTTCTCTATTAATTCATATTCATATTCAAATAAGTTTTGTATAAACTCTTTGAAATGTTCTTTTACTGAAGTATAACTCTAATTGATTTAGGCACATTTGGGGTCTCAAAGTCACCAGAAATTCGACTTTCGGCAATATATCAAAAGATCTTTGGAAGAGGATTTTAAAGTGGTTGTTGAAATCAGGTTTTTTCCCCCTTAATTTCTGCTCTCTATGTCATTTTGTTTTTGTTTGTTCTTGGAATTTTAAACTACCCTAAATAGCAAATATTTATGAAAATAACCTATGTCATAAATTGATTTGCAATGTAGCGATATAAATTAACTGCTCTCTTTCTAAAATTTTAGTCCTCCAATATGGTTCATCGCAGTGCTTTTTCTCCTGCTTAATACTCATGGTTAGTGAATACATCTTTTGATAATTAACTCCCAAAGCTAAATCATTTTATTGATTATTATATGTATGCATACTTACATTTTTTGTACATCATTTGTATATGAACAGGTTGGTACTCTTATATATGGCTACCATTTGCTCCTTTGATTGTAAGCACATGGAATGGCTTTGGCTTAATTAAGTATTAAATTTAATGAACTAGTTTGTTCTGCTGTGATAGTTGATGATATTTTGTGTAATTATAATGTTTCGAAATTCAGATCATTCTTTTAGTTGGAACCAAATTACAAGTGATCATAACAAAGATGGGTCAAAGAATTGAACAAAGAGGAGAGGTCATAAAGGGCATGCCACTAGTGCAACCAGGGGATGATCTATTTTGGTTTAAAAAACCTCGACTTATTCTCTACCTCATTAATTTTGTGCTCTTTCAGGTATGCATGCATGTATATACCATTTTTTTCAAAGCAATAACATCAATATATTTATTTATTTGTTAGAATGAAAATTTTTAATTTCCTCTCATCGCGGTTAGCGACTAATCCATATCTCATTGGACCAGAATGCTTTTCAGCTTGCCTACTTTTCATGGACCGCGGTAAGTCATTCAAAATAAATTTTGGTTATGCTAATAATATCTTCAATAAAACGAAATTTTCCACAGTAAAATGCATTAATGCTATTGCTACATTTCCACATGATCAAGACTTGTGAATGCAATTTTATATGAACAAATGCTATTGCTATATTTCTATTCGCAATTTTTATATGAATATATAATGGAACTTGCTTCTTTTTTCTTCTTCCCTTGTTTAGCTTCAATTTGGCGTGAAATCTTGTTTCCACTCCCATACAGAGGATTTGCTGATCAGAATCTCAATGGGGTGAGTTTCATTTTCTAGATCTATACCTATATTTAAGTCATCTCAAGTTAACAATATAATGAACATGGATGATATGGCAGGCTCTTTGTTCAATTCCTTTGCAGCTACGTGACTCTTCCTCTCTATGCTCTCGTGACACAGGTAGTTTAATTAATATCAACTCTTCAACAAATAACTTACTTTTTCTTTCGTTTTTTTTTTTCATAAAGTATCCTTTTTTTTATTATAAAATCATCACATATATTACTGTTCCGGCCAAAGGTGGACTAGAGTTTTTTCCTAGGTCAAGCCTCAAAGTCAGAGCATTCAAAAATGTAATCTACCGTCTTAACTATAGGGTTTTAAGTTTTATACTTTTCTTATTCATGGGCCTCATGGGCCCCGTAAACGCGGAGATTTCCTTAACCGTTTTTATCCGGAAGATACGCGGCGAACGTGGGGAGGTTAAATCGGGTTTTGACCGACTGGATCCATACCGAAAATGCAATCGGATATCGACCGAGCTGACTCCTATAGGTAGGAGGGGTCGGAATAAACCGATAAAGGGCACACAGACATGTCAATTCGGATATATACCGAGTGGCCCTCAGGGGGTCGGTCGAGGTTGCGGCTGAGCTATCGCAGGTAGAGAGGTCCTGTCGGAATCCGACCGTGACGGTACACTTGCCTTCCAGCCCTGAGCCTTTAAGGCGATAGGGCTTAAGGGGGTCGGTCTAGGTTGCGGCCGAGCGATCGCAGGTAGAGAGGGGTACAACTACATTTTTTTATATTCAGATCGCATGTACTAGGTATTGATAAAGACAACGCATGGCATGACAGTTCATGTTCTTTAATTTTATTTTATTTTTCATCTTCTTGTTTTCTTTTAATGTAGCTTGTGAACATATATATTGACTACCTTAACAATTTTATAGGATTCTCAATAAATCCAAGCTAATAATTGTTAAAAATAAACGTTTTTTTTTTTAATATAGAGCTTGTGAAAGAAGATTTAACAATGAACAAAATTTGATTGATTATGGGTGAGAACAGATGGGATCGAGTATGAAGGCAACCATATTCAGTGAAAGAGTGGCGGAGGCTATAAGGAAGTGGCACCACACGGCGAAGAAGCAGATAAAAAATAACCATGGGCTGGCCTCACAGTCACAGACCCCTTTCTCAAGCAGGCCCACAAGCCCGGCCCATCCCCTTCGCCACTACCGCAGTGAAATAGACACCTTCCTCTCATCTCCAATAAGATCCGAGTCTTTGGCCCATCAGCCCAACGACATTGATTCACTCTCATACTTTAACTCACATCATCACAGGTCCAAGGTTAATGCTGCTTCTATCTCAATTGAAATGGGTCACCTGGCCCATGATCCACCACAAAATGTGAAAGAACCCAGCTCTGCCCTTGAGGGCTCAGACCCGACTCAACACGAGAGGGAATTTTCATTTGATAAAAGATTACAAATTTAATTTTATAAAATGTGAAAATTACATGATTGTAGTAACATAGGAAGCAAAAGTGTTATGTATAGATAGTAGTAGGATAACGATGTAATTTGAATATGTCAAGAAAGGAATAAAGTATGGTGGAATTTTGTTCACTTAGATACGAGAAAAAGTTATGACTTTGACGTAAACAGAAGACCGAACTTTGTGACACATTCTTTAGGCAAGTAAATATGAGTCTTGAAAGTCGTAACAGAAATTAGAAGTGCATATTGGGTTTATTAGTTGGTTCTTTCCCTTTAAAAAGGCACCTACACACTACACAAAAGTGCCTTGCAGGTTCTAACTAACTACACCAAGACCAAGCTATTCATATATTCTATACATCTTTCAATCTTTATTTCTAATTATCCACTTTCGTTTTTCATTGCTTCCATTTCAGAATATTATCAAAAGGATTACATACTAAGTCATGAGCAATTCATATTAATATAACAATTGCTTAGAACAAACAATTTAGAAATTTTATGGTGGAATCTAATTTGGCTACTTTGGTGTCTTGTTGAGAGAGGATTGCACTTGATATCACCCATATATTTGGCTGGTGTAGAGCATTACATATTTTAATTTCACTGATTGGGAATTATTTTGATCTCGTATATCATGTGAAACGAATCTAGTAGTAGATAAGTTAGTCAATTTTAACTTATCTTTCTTTATTTCAAAATTTTAAAAATAAATGTATGAAGCCCACAATCCAATCCTCACACTTCCCGCAATAATAGTAAAAAAAACACTCATTTTTTAAACTTGTACCCATTTCTCTTTTATCTTTTATATTCTTTCTCTTTTATTAAACATAGCCTAAATCTAGTTTATTTTTTTATTGGTGTTTATGTTCCCGACGTTACCTTTGGGTGATATTTGTGGTAGAGGTTGTATTTGTTTAATATAGAATAATAAAAATCAACCCTAAATTATCGTTTGGATCTACCCCAATCATTCATTGAACCACGCTATATTTCAAATCTCCGCCTAGAAAGATAAATATAGGAGTAGGAGGATAAGTCAAAATTAATAGAGAGCTGCTATACAGTGCGAAAAAGTTGCCGAAACATCCATCGAATATTTAAAATATGGTTTAAATATATTTTTAGTTCTTTAAATTTACAATAAATTTATTTTTATTTTTTAAATTTAAAATTATTATTTTTAGTCTTATAATTTTTAAAAATTTTATTTTAGTCTTTTAGATCACTAATAACATATTTGAAAGTGATTAATTAAGACAGTTATACAATATTAATCAAATTTAATGTGATATTTTAACTAATAAAAATATCAATATGTAGATTTTATACAATAATATTTAATAAATTTCTTAATAAAATTTGAATATAAGGACTAAAATAAGATTTTTTGAAATTACAAGAACTAAAAACAACAATTTTAAATTTGAGGGACCAAAAACAGATTTATCCTAAATTTGATGGATTTAAAACATATTTAAGCCTTAAAATATTCATATTTTTAAATAAAATAATTATAAAATAATTATTTAATTTAATATTATATAATTTAAATTAATAAATGAACTTATGAAACTCGAGTCTTAAAATAAAATTTATATACTTATTGATAAAATCAACCATAATTAACAAAATGTATAATGTTACAAATTATATACATAATCTAATTTTTACAATTTTTCAAACACACTCTATGTTCTTATCATCTTATATAATTTATAAACAGTTAAGTTTCCTTGACATTAAGTGTAAACATAAAAACTGACATCAAATCTTATATCTTTAATAACTTTTTGTACAATACAAATTTGATCGATCTAATTATAGAATCATATGATATTTTTAAAATCATGTATATCAAATTTCACATGATTTGAACTTTTCTTACATATATTATCCAAAATGAATATTTACAAACTTTCAATATAAAAGTATATGTTAAAATAATATATTGTATAAAAAATTATTAAAAGTATAAGAATTTACATTATACAAACAATTATTGATATACTTGGTATTAATGTATCTTGACTCATTTATAAAACTTATTTTCTTAATTATAAAAAATTTGATAGAGTTATCTTGATTAATAACTCTTATTTAAATTAGACAAGACTTCAATAGAACATTAAGCTTTTTCTCTAAGAACTAATATAATTATACTTATTAGTAAAGTTGAGATACTTTATATTTTTATATATTTTATTTAAATAAAAGATAAAATATAAAAATATTGAATTTATTTAAATATTTTATAAATAATATTAAATTATTCAATAATTTAATTTTTAAAATTTATAAAATGGAATAACTGTGTGAATTGTGAAGAGTTGTTTCTAGATTGTATATCAAGTTGTTCTTTGTGTTTATATATGCACACTCCAGTGAGAACCGCTGCCAAATATCCAATCTAATACAACTCTTTTTATTAGATGTGGACACAAATTCAGATCAATTTATGACTCACCCAACTTGAATTAAACCAAAGAAGAAGAAAAAAATTATTTAAATTTTAAAATAACAATTTGACATTTGAGGAAGTAGAATCCAAATTAATCTAAACTTATATTATTAAATCCAAATAATAAATAGTAGAATTTTGGTGACACCAATATATTTCTGTAACCCTTGTTTCTCTCTTCTCTCGCTCAATTTCGTTTTTCTCCTCTTCATCTCAGCGACATGGCCCGAGGTTCCTCTCAGTCTCAGTCCTCCACTTCAGCAACCGCGCGACCGGGAGGAGGAGGAGGAGGCATGGCTGCTCCCCGCGGTTCCGCCGCCGCCACCGCCGGCATGCGCCGCCGTCGTCTGGGCGGAGGGAACAGCAGCGCCAGCGTGGGCGGCGGCAACATGCTGAGGTTCTACACGGACGACGCGCCGGGACTGAAGATTTCGCCGACGGTGGTGCTGGTGATGAGCCTCTGCTTCATCGCCTTCGTCACCGCCCTCCACGTGTTCGGAAAACTCTACCGCTCCAAATCCGGCGTTTGATTTTAAGATCCTCTTGGATTTGTAGTTTTTAATTCCGTAATTTTAGTTAACACTTGCTGTGTGGAATTATCTTCTCTCACTCTGGATTTGGTTTGCCCTTAATCATGTGTATTAATCAGCTACGTTTGGTTAATTAAACTTATCAAAGAGTAAAAGCTCCACTTTCATGTTTTCGACCTTCATTCTAGGATCTGCTTTATTTTGGGTTGCGAGAAGAAGAAAATGGCTAATAAAAGTTGACATTTCTGACTTTGTAACTTACTATTTTTCAATCCCCGCGTCCAATTATAGTTAGTTTGAGAAATGTTGAACTGAATTCAATGTGAAACCTAAAGAAATACAATGTGAATTTCAGTTTATATTCAACGAATTTAATTTTTATTTGATGAGATTTATATAAATTTGATTTAGTAGAATTAACGTAGGAGCATTGGTTATATATTTGAAATTGAAAGAAGGGAAAGGAAATGCGAAAGCGTGTGCAAAGGGCGTGGCGTAGCGTTTTGTGCGTTGAATGCGTGGTTTGCGTTTGAGATGGAAGAGTGCATAGGAAGTGTGCAGAAACAGAAACATAAAGAGAACCACACACACAAAATGAAGCACCTTAACTTTCTCCCTCCCCACTCACTCCTTATTTTGCACTCCTCAAAACAACAACCTGAAGAGAATCAAAAACAATGTCCGTCGTCGATATTCTCTTCCGCGTCGACACCATATGCCACAAATATGAAAAGTACGACATCGACAAGCAGCGCGAGCTCAATGCCTATGGCGACGACATCTTCGCTCGCCTCTATGCCGCCGTCGAAAACGCCATTCAAACCGCTCTCAATGTTCCCTTCTTTCCCCTCTTCTCTTCAGTTTCCGTTGCTTTTCTTCTTCTTCTTCTTCACATTCACGTCTTTATTTCAATGCAGAAATCGGAGGCGGCTTTAACAGAGAATAACAGAGCGGCTGGGGGGGGGTTTGATGGCCCGGGGCG